TATTCATTCATTAGTTAGCTAGGCTGCGTATTTTGTTTTCCCCACCATCGTGCCGCATTTTTTGTTCAACCTGCGGCACGATGGTAGGGTAAAACAAAATACGCAGCCTAGCTAACTAATGAATGAATATTTGCTGTAAAATTCTTATCAGTGCTATAAATGTAGCTACCAGTTTGGTCGCCAATTTTTATATCATTCCGTTAAGTCGCACAGTCAATCCTTTTTGGGCTGCACCTTTTTTTTCATACTTAAGGTGTTTTTGATTAGATATCAACGCACACTAACAACCACAGTGAGTAAGAAAGTGATAATGGACAGTAACCAACATTAGCTTTAGAATCGCAACCCTATTATTCGGAACAGACCTATACTTTACAGAACCTACCAGATTCTTTAAAATATATGCTGGTAGTTTTTCTCTCTAAAACAGTGTTAGTAACTTCCTTTATGTAACGCCATGGAATCTAGATTAATGGCTTTTGTCATCACCCGCATGCACTCAGTACGACGGTATGAAGCATCATTATTTGCGCTAATTTCTTAAGCTAATAACACGTGACGCTATAAGCTCTTTAATTAGGAAAATTTCATACAATTTAGCAAATTGATGCTTAAAATCTGGCAATGAATAATGACCATCCATCAGTATGATTATTTTGAAAACTTGAGCGAGAAACTGATAATCTAATTTGCTTGGTCTTTCAGCCTTTAGTTTTGCTGTTCTAAATCTGCCGTCTTTAATCCGAATAACAAAAACTAATCACACTTTTACTCTTAGGTGAAGCTGTAGTAAAAAGTTGACACCGATAACTCACGTGACTTTTTGCGTAGGCGTGCGCAAATATGTTTGTCAAAATTTAGCGGTTTTTGTTGAATAACTCTGCATATGTGGCTTATATTTAGACCAAATTTGACACCTAATTGTAGGTTGTAAAGATCTATCAGTGCACCAAAGTTGAAAAAAAAGCCATAAAAGTTAAGTATGTTTTATTATGAAATAAATTTTTGTATTTTCAGTGCGAAGAAAAAAAAAGAAGGAAGAAATTCAATCAAAATTGAAGATGTTATATCTCGTGTATTTCTTAATGGATTGCCTTTAAATTTGGTATGTGAAGTAAGGGTCCAGTATGAAAACATGTACTAGTTTGGATAAACACAGTCCGAGTTACAGAAAGTGGAAAATCGCTAAACTATCACTTCTGTTAATAACACACAGTGTCCTGAAACTGGTTGTTTTGACCGCACGACACACTACAACTTACAAAATGGGAAAAACACTTGCTATGCTAAGCCGAGTTTGGTAACGTTCATAATGTTTTTGCATACAAGTTGGAAAACGTTGCTCCACTTTTATCTTTATTTTTAGCAAGAAGCCAGATGATTTGTATCAACTGTGTTCTGTATTTTTAGGTATAACAAATTTCTCATAATAATTATACAAAGATAAATCATAGATGTTGAATTCTCGTTGTTTAATTTTGATTTTCCTCTTTAAGATTTTCGAGCAGTAAATAATTTTTTCATTGTCATTGAATCTATACGATGTTTTAGTATTATATTAACAGTTTCTGCTTTCGTAAATTTTATATTTTACATGCATAGTGTTGTCACCAATCTTTGGTATCTTGAACGAAAGACGAATTAGGGTTCACTGTATGTGATCATACTTGCTGATAAAGAAACAACAGAAATAACATGATTTTCAAACGTGTCTTAAATTGCCCTTATGACAACTAAGTCTAATTACTCACTAGTTACGTTTGATTGTTTGGCTCAAAGCTACACCGTAGACTATCTATCTGTGCTGTGCCCACTTTGGATATTGAAACACTATTTTAGTTATAAGCCCTCAGACTTATCGCTGAGCCACCGCGGGGCATAATTAGTTGAGATTTTTATTTGATAGTAGTTAGTAGTTATTTTGTATTCTACGCTTAAATGGAAAAATAATAATTAGACTTAAGAGATTTTATAGTTATTATAACCATGACAACTACTAACGCCCAGTTGCCACAACCTTACCGTAAGTACGTAATGATTGTCAGATTTTTAAATTTCGAGTTGAAAAGAGATAATGTTCATACGTAATAAAGAAAAAGGATACACGATGTTTCGTTGAAGTAAATACAAAACTTACAATTTTTTTTCGTCATTCATGTCTATTTCCGACAGCGCCGCCACTCTTCCTATCACCTTTCGCTGCTTAGAAGAAAACAATCACATTGACAAGAGAGTGACGCGGTTTGTGCTACCAGTGGGCGCTACAGTCAACATGGACGGTACTGCTCTGTACGAAGCAGTAGCTGCAATCTTTATCGCCCAGATGAATGGAATAAACTTATCAGCAGGACAAGTGATCGCAGTGAGGTAAAGCATTATATTTTAAATAGATAGTCACTTGTTTTCTTTTTGTGTATTCTATGAAAACACCGTTTGTGAAATTTTATCCATTATGTTCTATGTGTACGTTAATAAAGTTTTTTGATAAATGTCAAACAGATGTTTAACAATGTACATTTTTTAAAGAAAATTAAGAACTGATAAATTACAGTAAAATATAATTTTCTTTGTAAATAGTACAACTTCTTTAAACATATATTATATATATATACAAATATTTGCCATAAAAATCACAATATTGAACTCGAAGATTTTTCTACTTTTTAGTCACGTGTTACAGCATGGCTTGGCTGTACGGGGGTTGAGTACGTTATATTCAAATTTTGGAGCTTTAACACGTCGTTACAGTTCATGTCATCTCGTCCGATCATACTCTATATAACAACTGTGCTTCTTTAACTATCCCTGCTGCTTAATTTCCATTTCAAAAGGTTCGTCGTAAGGCTGTCAAGTAAAAAGCATATCAGTACCCCCCTTTACATTTCATAGTCCATGTATTGTTCGAGGAAAATTTTTTCCTAGCACCCATTTTAACAGTTTGATCACACAAAAATCCATAGGCGATGACTTGACCAGCATGTCTTTATATGAAAAACTATGAATACCCATTCCATTCTCCATCTGCATGAGATATGGGCCCACTTAATGGATATGTCATGTAAGTAACTTGTGTACACGTGGTTTGTCACTTTTCCAGACAGAGATCATTCTGGGTTGAATTGTATATTGTTGCTTGGAGTACATAGACGGCTTTTGCCACTGACCTTTGTGTTTGTGGATTTTCACCTGTTACAATACACAGCACTTTGCTTACCACGGCGGGGGTACGACTTGTTGCAGGTCTATTTCTGGATGGTCCTGATGCCCCAACTTGATCCATATTCCTTTGTTTTCCAAAGCCATTAAGTACAAGAGATGTCTTCGCCTTGGGAATTCAAAATCTCCGATCTGAAAATATCTTTGTGAGATGAGTATATGAATATTTTACTTCGGAAAGGTCTGTTACATATCATTCCCAAAAGTGATTAATTTTAGTTGCCATGACACTACCTATGAATGTCAAACAATGTAAAAATGCAGTTCTGATAGTTCCACCGCGATTTTATATCGGTTGTGGGTGTCAAGTGACTTGCTGATTTATATATTCAAAATCATTTTAATTGAACATACTCAATTCTGTGAAGTAAATTGTTTTACTTTTAAAATTCTGTTACATAAGGGTTAACTACTTTCTTACAACTGACTGTAGATGTGAATGGTAGTTTTAGATGTGGAAGGTTGTAGATTTATGTTATATGGAGCTGATTTTTAGTCATAGCTAATAAGATTATCCTTTTTGCATCATAAATGATTTCTTTTCTTCTTTGTGTCTTACTTTAGTTTGACTGCCACAGCAGCAAGTGTAGGTGCAGCCAGTGTCCCTAGTGCAGGCCTGGTAACCATGTTACTTGTATTGTCAGCTGTCGGACTTCCAACTAAAGATATTACCATGATTGTTGCTGTAGACTGGTTACTGTAAGTTTCTTTCAACTATATCACATTTCTTACTATTGAAATTAATATTAAAGTTTCTGGTGTTTTCACAGATTGAGTTAAAATTAGAAAATGAAATATGTTTTTTTATATTTTGTACGACTTCTGGGGTAATGTCTTTCACCTAGAAGTACCGAATCTGATTGATTCTTAAGTTTTAGAGAATGACCCTCCTAGTTTTGTATTTGTTAAATACCTCAAAAATTAAATCTAAAATCTCCTACATTAGAAATAAATTCTTAACCTTGAACACTTAGTTACATAGATTACTAATATTTTAAATAATGTTCTTCATTAGCTCATTTTGTATTAAGTTAAAATATGTAATTTTGGAATTTATGAGAGAAGTGGTCTTAAACAACGATAAACTATTTTTTGCCAAATTAATTAGCAAATCTTTACCATTATTTATTCAATCATAAAACTTCATTTTAACTGGTGCTTTAGAGTGTACCATGTTAATTGTAGGTAAAATAATAGAAAGTTCAACTTATGTAGTATTTCCCAGTGTAAGTGTGATCTATCCAGTTTCTATCAGATATTATTGTCGCGTTTCTCAATTTAAGAAAAGTAATTTTCTTCTCATTTTTATTACTTTGCATAAAATTTCTCTTTATGAAAGGTATCTGCCTTTTTAAATTCATAAAACACTTGTAATATTTGAGCCTAAACAACACACCTGAATTTACTCTCCTGAGTTAGAATAAATTTTGTTTGTTTGTAATTAAGCACAAAGCTACACAATGGGCTATCTGTGCTCTGCCCACCACAGGTATCGAAACTCGGTTTCTAGGCCACAGACATATCGCTGTGCCACTGGGGGGCTGTAATATAAATTATGGGAAAGTTTGATGAACTCAATCAAGAATGAACATTGTCTAAATATTAATCCGATTAGCTCATTTAAAACTATATGTATAATATAAACATTTACAGTTTTCAATACATCTACACTACACTGTGCTTAGATCTAGACTTATAAGTAACAATTATGTTTGTTTTCAAGCTCAAACACACACACAATGGACCCTCAACTTTACCACTGAGCCACCAGGGGGCCTAATAATTAGCCCGTTATCTTATTTTTTGGTTTCACAAGGTAAAACATAGACACAAAATAATTAATTTTGACTAATTATGATAGGGATGCAACTAATGTTGAGAATCGACCAAGGAGGAAGATATGAAAGAGTGATTAAACTGTATTAGTTAATCAGTTAGGTAACCTCTTGGTTTATGGCATTTTCGGCCGTAAATCTCATAACACTTCACGTATTCTGATCGACTTCATTAGGTCACGTTCAAATTACGTCAGAAATTTAGTATAACATACAAAATATTCCACAAGGAAGAGGCATCATTTCCTACATCAGCTGTTCTGTCAGATGGCATATACGGTTTGTGCTTCTGTTCTATTATCTACTTTTCAGAAAAAAAAATAGTATTTTTCTTTAACTATTATTATCCTCTAACATACTAAAATATGCACATTATTTTATTTTATTTACAGCGTAGGATTTTACTGCCCCCCCCCCCCCCCGTGGCACAGCGGTATGTCTGCGGACTTACAACGCTAGAATCCGGGTTTCGATATCCATGGTGGGCAGAGCACAGATAGCACATTGTGTAGCTTTGTGCTTAATTATGAACAAACAAAGGATTTTACTTAAATTTAGATTAGAAACAATATATTATATTAATATGTTTGTGTGGTTGCTTGCCTTTCTCATCAGATAATAACTTTTTGGGACATATGACTTTAGTTTTTTATCATTAGATGAATTAACACACGCTTGTAGGAGCTAGCAAACTAGGCGAATGTTACTAGCAACTTTATGCATTTGTTTATAAAAATAATGAGATTATTAAAAAAATTGTTAGAGCAAGTCACTCAAGAAATGTTTATCATAATGCAAACTTGTTTCCATGTCTCTTAATAATTCCCCAATCAGAATTATTAATTTACTCTGCTATTAATGCATAACAGACGTTGCTAAAGCTTTTATTGGTCGAACATCTCAATGGGATTGGTTGCTTATTGCATTGTGATTCTGGAATATCAGCACAATCACATAGAACATGAAGTATTTGTTGCTGTTTCAATAACACTAATTTATTTTCAGTCTTAAGTGAAATGTCGAAACATGGCCAAATTGAACTTGTTTTTTTATGTATTATATGTGTGTTAACTGCTCTTCAAGAAATATATATATATATATTACAGAGATCGCTTAAGGACTTCCATCAATGTTCTTGGAGATGCTTTTGGCGCTGGAATAGTTCATCACTTATCAAAGGCTGAGCTGGATAAAATTGACGCTGAACATGCTCGAATCGAAATGGAAATGCCTGAGAGAAAATTTTCTGTAACCACAAGAGGGAATTTCATGCGTCAAAGAAGTTTGGAAATAGGTAGCAGCAACAATGAAAATCCGGGTGGCAGTTTCAGCGCATGTGTGAACAGTGGGGAAACCCAGATTTAAATATGCTGTTGAACGGAATACAGACACAAGATGATAAATGTATTATGTTCATCTTCTTCAAGAAAACGTATCTTAATTTATATACCATTGATAGAGAGAGAAAAGATACATTTTTGGGAACTTGTATTGGATAAACCTATCATTTCTACCGTAGCATGCTTTTGTACTAAGAGTGTGTCGTGTTTTTTATTTTTAATATTGGTTCAACTTAATGTTATAATGTAGTAATATTTAGAATTTAGTGAGAAGGAAACGTTATAACAGGTGTCAAATTCAGAAACATGAAGCTTTTATTGGTCGAACATCTCTATGGGATTGGTTGTTTATTTCATTGCGATTGTGGAATATCAGCACAATCACATAGAACATGGAGTGTTTGTTGCTGTTTCAATAACACTAATTTATTTTCAGTTTTAAGTGAAATGCTGAAACATGGCCAAATTGATTCTTTTTTATGTATTATGTGCGTGTTAACTGCTGTTCAAGAAATACAGTTAGTTAAATGTATATTACAGAGATCGCTTAAGGACTTCCATCAATATTCTTGGAGATGCTTTTGACGTTGGAATAGTTCATCACTATTTTCTTCCTTGTTACGTGCAATCTATTTATTAGATACGAATAAGTTTTTTTTCTAAGTTTCATTGGTCATCCAGAAGATGTAGAATGGGTTGATTATTTTTCATTATTTTATTTCCTATTCACTTTAACGGGGGAAAGTATCTAAGTCAGTTATTCAAACTAGGAGTACAAAATAACCACAAAAAATATCCATCGCCCTAAAAATAACTTGTACCTGGACTTTAAACGATGGAAACATGCTTATTATTCTAGAGGTCACCATATTTGTTTTTATGTGCATATGTAGGCACGCGCGCACACTAAGTAACCCACAAATACTTAAAATTCACACGTACGTTAGCTCTTAAAAACTAAGACTGAAAACTGTTAGTTAAATGTAAATTGGTTGGAAATGATATTTGAAAATTAATCCTTAAGTAATGACAACCGTTGTTTTATTTAATATGCTATAAAACGAACCGAAACAAATCTACTTCTTACGTTTGTTAGAACCAAGTTTTATTAGATACATTTTTTTATTTCTCTCGATTTGGAGACGTTTAAAGACAGGGACAACTTCAACTCCTTTCATTTGAAGGGGTGGAGGGCAGCTAAGAATTTGTTGACTCTTCTTAGCGATAAAAAAAATCGTGATTTTTTAAAACTGATAATATGATTTTGAACCCGCTAGAGAGAGAATGAACTTTGGTGGGCCAGAGTGAAATTTGGGGTACACGGTCCACCCCATCACCCCTTAGCGACGACCTTGTTTCAAGATCAGTGTTATGTGGGAGTACCAATATCGTGAAACGCAGGTTTAAATTCACTGTTTTGTTTTTTCATTATCCGATATTTGAAATAAACCTCTCTACTTATTTATTGACTTTCTCAAAATCAAAGCGACGGATTTAATTGTTATTCTTCATTTTAAAAACTAGCTTTAAATATTTTTCAGCAGGATTGGTTGATAAATAATTGTAGAAGCTTTATCACATTATAAAACTATCGGGACTTGCATGGTGCAATAGCAATCAGTTACAAGCAGGGTTCAAGTTGTTTATGACCTATTTTGACTAGAGCTGACAAACAGATGATAGCGATAAGTAACTTAGAGAAATTGAATGTGTGATAACCATTATATATTTAAATAATAAAATACATAATTAATTAGAACATGAAAATTATTACTCAAACTATATAGCGCTCCTCTGAGAGCAATGAAAGACATTTCACGCAAAATCTAGAAAGAAAATACTTTATTGCCCTAAAACTTTCCTCACTGGATTTGGTCTTAGGTCCACATCTGGTGATAGTTAAATGAGGGTTCTTTAAGTTCAATATTAAATGTTTTCATTTAACTGAGGTGGGCTTAAAACCGAAACCTATCATATAGTATATTTAACTGTTAGGTTATGGATACATATAAGACAATGAGTTAAAGGAGTTGCTTATGATAATAAACATAATTAAGGTAAATTTTCCTCCATCAGTATTGCCTATGATTTGTTTTACAGGATTACACACTTCTTCCATTCCTTGAGTGTAAGGAAAGTGAAATCCTTTTTTACTTTAGTAAATGTAACTTTTTAAAGCTTATATTTGCAATAAAGTACAATTTATCCGACACCTGCTGTTGCAATGTTTAGGAGAAAAGGCTTTTTATTAGGCATATTTACATCACGAATATGACAAAGACGATAACATATCTGAGCAACTAGTGTGAACATTTGTATTTTTAATAACGTATTGGTAAATATAGATACATTTTAAACGTTTTGTTAACAGTCAAGTTTTATCGTGAGTGTCTTGAATACATTGTATTTGTATTTTATAAATCTAGATCTTAAATTCGTGTGGTTGAAAATAATTGTGAAAAACTGTGAATATTGGTGAAATATATGTGTATTTCTTACTAGTTGGCGTATAGTATAGTGAGCGTAAGCATACGTTATAGGGTTATATAGATGGACAAATTAAATAATCTAAACATTTATATTTGTGCCTAAGTGTAGTCAACACGTAGATGTATTACGTAACATTCTAGAAGTAGGCCACAAATGAATATCAGGGACTAAATGTACCTTTGTTTTCTGTAGCAACTCGCTTACCCACTCGGCATGTATTGTACTTATTCTGCCTGAGTGATATGCATGTTTTTTAGCATCATTTTATATACATTTTGCATAGTTTTATATAAAGGTGATAGTTCACTTTTGGACCAGAAGAAGCCTGAGTATTTAGAAAAACTAGGGCCTTTAAATAGTCAGTTGTGAAGTTTATTTTATCTTTACTTTAGCGATCTTTCAGATTGTACTTTCTTTTAAAGAGAGAATTGAGTACATATCAGAATTTAATTTAATTTCAGTGAGTTATAAAACTCTAATCTAATACCTAATTTGGAATAATTTTCATTTAATTTTTTATGCCATGTGAAGTTTTTATTGTTTAATTAAATCCTTTTGTACTGAGATAGAAAAACCTGTATACAAACCTTCTGAAATAACCAAAAATGCTGAGCTGTATAACCATATTATTCTCCCTGCTTCAAAATGTCACACAGTCACGTGTGGGTCTTCTGTTAAACCCGAACATTGGCAAAAGGTAGTTGAGAATGGTAGCACTGCATTAATCAGAATACAGGAAAATATGAAAAATCTGACGTGCTAAGACATGCTGATGTAACTTTATTGTTAACTTATTTTTACAAATAATAACCTACTTTGAGAGGTTTTAGTTTCTTTTTTTAGTTTTTCTAAGAACAGTTACAATGAATATTTGTGTTCACCTAATATCTCAAAAATAAGAACAGTGTTTGAACAAAGTAACCTATAATAAAACACAATGGATTCTACTTTAGGATATAAATTTTATAGATGATAATAAAAGGCGTGTCAATTCAGTACAGAAAAACAGTTGATTTCCGCCAATTAATATTCAATAATACTGTGTTTCGTTACAGTAAATTGTTTTACCGCTGACTGAAAGGGGAAGGAGCAAGACGTAACATTTTAAGAAGATGAAGTCTGTTTATGCAAACAGATTTGATCAACATGAGACTGTGTGACGTTTTAAAACCCCCAGTAACTATTTTCCTTTTGTTCTGTGTTGAAATATTTATCATCTTTATTAACTGTCGAATTTCTAGATATCTAAATTGTAATCAAAATAGGACAACAATGTTATACTCTTTTTTTTTATCCATTATTGTAGCTTGTTTGAATTATCACACGTAATCAATAAAATATTCTAAAACTAACATGTGATTGTGCACTGCAAATAAATAAAGGTAGGTAATTACTTTGTTATTCCTGAATAAACAAAACCTACACAAATCTATTTTCACTTTAATAACTGAATATTGATATTAATATCACGTATGCATACATATTTTTAATGGTGCTTTGGACAGACTTAAAAGTAATGAGAGGAAAAAAAACAACACATTTTAAAATTATTTGAAATGACTATAATCTAGCGAAATTGGAACTAAGTATAGTCTTACCTAAGATTAATAAACCTGGTATAAAACCTTTGTCAGTAGAGAGAGAAAAACCTTAGTTCGAAAACATTCCTTGAGCGCATACACAGACATTTAAATCGTTAGCATTGTTAATTTCCGGTATAAATTCTTTCCGAGGAACTTCAGCGATACAAGTACTTTCTTAATTAAAACTAGTTTAATCTTTCTCGATACAACTTTGTAATACACAGAATTTCCACAGTCACTTTAAACTTATCAACCTGTATAACACACGCTATAAATCACAGTGGTTCACAGACTTTACTTATGGTGCCTACTGTTCGCTTGACTCAATTACCTATATCTTCAATCTATCTATCACTGGCTTTATTTGCCGGGCTTATATACTAAAAAAGAGGGCGCCTAGCAAACACTCGGACATTCGCGAGGTTCCTCGATACGTCATGATCCTTCTAGAAACTCCAGCGCGCATGCTCCCAGAGTCGCGTGACTTCGGCTGTCGTAACAGTATTCTTGTGCTGTTCTTTAACAAAACTAGATGTACTAAAACGATTCTACAGAAAACTTTGTTTCGAGTTTCAAACAATTTTACTGTTACATTCATACAGATTTGAACCAATAGGACAATTATAACCTTAAGTTTTAAATGTCATACTTTTTATTAATGAACAAAGTCTGAACAAATTTTGTGACTGATAACGAATTTGTTTTGTGAAAGCACTACGGCGTCTATATATATATATATATATATATATATACTACTT